AAAGATAATTAGATAGAATGGAGGGGGAAGCAGCATCCGACCCCATTGTTTTGACAGGCGGTAGGGGCAGTGACTAATGAGACAATATGTCATTTTGACAGCTGCGGACTCCTGACTCAAAACAATTATAAGCCACACACATCACACACAAGACAAGCTGCTGAAGGGTGATAATAGCAGTTTTATGAAAGTATCTAGTGACTATATATGTGTATATATATTTATAGAAACCAAGCAAGAGAGGAAGGCAGGAATGAAGGAAGGACTAGATGAAAGGAAGGAAAAAGTAATGAAGGACAGATGAAGGAATGTAGGAAGAGAGGTGGAATGCCCTCCAGGTAGCCTCCAGGAAGGAAAGGAATGAAGGAAATTAGGAAGGAAGGATGACACACGACCATTTACCTAGGATAGCTACATAACACAACTGCCTGCTAATACTTTGAAGAAAACTGCTCAGACGAGGTGTTTTGTCTTTGCACATAAAAAAAAAATTCAACAAAAATGCACACACACTGATTTTATGTGTGAGGAGTGTAAAACACCATTGTGTATGACACCATGTTTTATGTGTGAGAGTGTAAAATACCACTGTGTATGACACCATGTTTTATGTGTGAGGAGTGTAAAACACCATTGTGTATGACACCATGTTTTATGTGTGAGAGTGTAAAACACCACTGTGTATGACACCATGTTTTATGTGTAAGAGTGTAAAACACCACTGTGTATGACACCATGTTTCACAGAGTTCCACAAGCTACAGAACTTCTAGGAGTATGTTCAGTGACTGTATATTGGTATATATATTATAGAACAATAGTAATAAAAAATTTTTGTATTGTTTGTTTTTGTAAACAAGTTTTGTAAACAATATATTGATAATTATGTTTGTGTGCTTATTGTGTTGTATACAACGAGTGTATATATGTACATTGCACCTTACTTTGGTCTCACAGGCCACATAAGTTATGTAAAAAAATAAAATAGTGAAAAAAACAACAAACCTTCAAATACAAGTAAACCAAAGTTTACCGGGTGAGCGGCAGTCGCCGCTGTTGCCATACGCGGCTCATTTTCTGCAAACTTCATGCCTCTATATCTCGGTAAGTACTGATGGGAAAAAAAATTTTTTGGGACTAAAACAATCAGAAAAATAATCTTAACATTTTCATAAGAAAAAATAATTTTTTTTTTTTCGAATATTTTGCGACACCAGGAGCAACTTCAGGATTGGGCCCTTCGACAGTCAAAGGGTTAAAAAAAAAAAAAAATTATTTTCTCTTATGAAAAGATAGAGAATCTTTTCCCGATAATAACGACACCAAAAGTTTGAAATTTGATAGAAAACTTACGGAATTATGCTCTCGCAAAGTTAGCGGTCTCGGCGATGTTTACGCATCGGCGATTTTGCCCACTTTGAGCCCCATTTTCGGCCAATTTCACTGTACTAGTCGACAAAAAACATGAATATTTCGCTAGAACTCCATTTTTTTTATCGAATGGGTGCAAGAAACCACCCATTTATAAATTCAACTATCCAGTACAGTGGTCAGAAATTAGCAATTTTGCCAATTTCACACAAATTTCAAAAGATGCCAATTTCGGAATAGGGTCCAGAATAAACAAGAAAGACATTCCTGGCACTAAAATGACATTTCCTCTAGTCATTAGTCACGTCTCAAGGCCCCTCTTATATTCTTTTGCTTTCCACTTTGAATTTTTATTCTCACAAAAAATATAAGATTTACTGTTATGCAGACTACTGCATTAGTGTAAAAAATGGTATAAATATTATTGGTGCACTTGTGAAAGAATATTAGACTCACCAGTTGACGTGTATTGCACGCTTGGCACAATTTGTTTTACTTTTGAAGTTTGGTAAAAATCGAACATTTCTGCTACTTTGAGCTCAATTTCAAGGCACCTTTCATGTAAAACCAGTCAAAATCATCTCAATTCAGTATATGTCTTCCATTCTATAAAATGAGACCAAGAAAACTAGAATACAACAATAAAAACCATACGAAAATACACTGCAAAGTCGCTGATTTATTAAAAAAAAATGGTCGAAGTTTTTTTTTTTCTCATTATGCACTGTGTGCTGCAGGATTTTTTTTAGACTGTGCACACTGACCACATAGACCCATTCTTTCATATAAAGGCCTACCAGCTTTCTCCCACTAGATTTGAGGCCGCTAGAATTTATGAGTACTAGTACGTCAAAAACCCCTACGCGTAAGACGTACTAGTACGACGAAAACCCTCAAAGGGTTAAGGGTTAGTGCTAACTTTATCACTGGCTGGCGCTATAGCCTTTACTGACTCCTGCTGCTTTAGTATCATACATATTGTATCACTGAATCACTGAAGAAGGCACAGTCTCCCCTCTCTCTCAGCCCTTTACCAAAGGGCTGGCACTAGGAACTTTCTTTGGGCCCATGGTGGCTTATTTCACAGTCACAATCAATAGGCAGGCACAAAAATTGTGAAATGTTTCGAATGAATGCTCACTCAAGCAGTGACAGAGCCAGATTCATGGCATTCCCTGGGCAGGCGGACACGTATGATATGTCCCAATTCCCGGGACAAGGTCCAAAATTTGAAGCAAAACTCACAAAAAAAAGTTTGAAATCTGAAAAGTCCGATAACCGGTGCGTGCAAAATCCAGGGTTCCAGTGTATTACAAAAAAACACTAATTGGTCTTTCCATTAGTGTCAGTAATATAAAAGTTCGGGATACATATATACACATTAAAATAAATTAATCTTTAATATTATATAAAAACAACTATCTTTGGTCTAGAGGTATTTTGTAAGTAAACATCTGATAATATATACATGTTACAATAATAAATTATTAGCATTTTAAAATAAATAAGATTAATGACCCTACACAGGGTACAACTTTCTTAGACACTACTGTGTCATATATCTATGCTAAAATAATAAAAATTTTAAGTAACATATTTACAATAATAAATAATCAACTGCATTCTTCGGGTCTCACAACACCCTTATGACGCTCTGTGTCACACGACACTTATTCGTGGTGTGTTGTGACGCTCCCTGTGTCTCACACGACACTTATCCGTGTAATGACGCTCCATCTCAACCGTGTCCCTTGACACCCTTTTTCTCTGTGTCCACACAACACTCCAGCTCTCCGTGTGACACGACACACTTGTCTCTGCGTAATGACGCTCCATCTCAACCGTGTCCCTTGACACCCTTTTCTCTGCGTAATGACGCTCCTACTCTCCGTGTCACACGACACCCTTTTCTCTGCGTCATACACCTTCTCAACTGTGTCACCCTTGACACCCTGCGACACTCACACAGCGTCTTTCTCGAGGCCAGTCACATGACACTATTAAATGTACACTACAACCTGATCATCTTCAGTGTCACACGACACCCTTTTCTTCTCAGTGTTCCACTGCGGTCCTATAGCATATCTCAGTGTGATACTCCGTCATACTTCCTTAAGTGTCACACTATGGTCCCAGCCCAGTTCAGTGTCACACTCCAACCTTTTCTTCATGTAGTGTCCCACTAAAACAGCATCAGATGACTCGGCCCACAGTTGACCAGCGTAGGTGGTGAGTCCGCAGACATCACCTGTCCTGTAAATACTCTCCAAGGCCAGTAGAAGTACACCGTAAGATGGTCTGGTGAGCACTGTCTACCGCCTTCAAGACCAGTTGACACACCGCAAGGTGGTCAGGTGCAGAACACACTGCTGCGAGCTCAATGAATGCGGCTGTCAAGTAACTGAGGCCATCAGACTCAGTGAGCTGCGGTGAGCGGTTCTTCTAAAATCAGTAGAAGCTAGTAGATGTGTACCAATAGGTGTTCTGGTAACTACTGCTTCTAAGGCCAGTAGAATACTCTCTACTGCCAGTAGATCTATACTGTAAGGTGTTCTGGTAATTACTGCTGCTAAGGCCGGCTCAGCAGTCCCCACATTGGATTTGATGACGTACCCTTGGTACTGCCGGCCGGCAGGTTAACAGTTTAACAGCTAATTTGGCAGGGAGCAGTCACACAGTGTATATGCTATGTAATGTGTTTCTTATATAATTTTGAAAAAAAATATCTATATTAACATAATATACGGCATTTAAAGTGCCCAACAGCAATTATTATTAATAAAAATATGGTGTCTTCAAGAGTAGTGAGACACTCCTAGTGATTTTAATGTGTTTCTGCATGCCAGCACAGCGTGTAAGTTTATTTAGGTACATGTACACATAAGTATGTATAATTATCAGTGTATATAAAATATGCAATAACCTTAAAACACTTGAAATTTTGAAAAGTTTCCAGATATAATGGAGAGATATGGAGCAGAACTCACAGAGGATGTAAACAAACAGTGGTGCGTGGAGGCCGTATCAGCAAGTCAGGTGAGGGGGGGAGGGAGCCATATAACGAGTTTTGGTCATAATTTCAATGTCCATATTAGCAAAATACCGTAAAGCAGAATGCCATAAAGCAAATTCAAAATCCAAAAAAATCAGAAATCCAAAACACTTCTGGCCCCAAGCATTTTGGATAAAGGGTTCTGTACTGCATATATGCTGTAATTATTCTTATCTACATGTACAACCTCTCCTCACTTAATGACAGACTTCTGTTCCTAAGACCATGTCGGTAAACGAATTCATCGCTAAGTGAGGAGCATACTATAATGGTAGTGGGCTTGTGTCAATCATCTTTGATATTGTTATAATATCACCTTTGCACCATTTATAACATTTCTGGTATATTTTTAAATGTTTATACAGTTGTGTACTGTATATTGTTATAAATAGAATAGAGAAAACCAGCTCTAATATACATTATTTATGTATGCATACTGGTCAGAGAGCATGTCGTAAGTCTGAGTCGTTTGTAAATGACTACGTCGCTAAGTGAGGAGAGGCTGTATATATAAAATAGTTTACTAGGTTTAACACAAGGAGAATGATTTAATGAGGCAGCAAGTGAGTGTTACATACCCATGTCGTTGAGGAACATTGTGATGAAGCTGGAGAACGACCCTTCATAACTACTCTGAGTTAAGAGTCGCATAAAATAGAAGTATGACACTGCTGTATCTCGGGGATTACGAGTTATATACACGAGCTAAAAATAAAAATAGGTTTAGCAGAAATTTCAATAAATAGATTTAATGCAATGTTGAAAAGACATGATAGACTCATAAATCAAATTATCCTTATGGTGTTATTGTAGCTATTAGTAATGTTAATACAATGCAATACAATATCACTTTCTTTTCTGTGGTGTGCAAAACATAGTTTACATATAATAAAATATTGTTAACCACTAAAGAAAGCCACTAGGATACTGTACTTCTTAAGCAGACTAATCCTAATGTTTACAGATTACTTAACCCTTTGAAGGTCTGTCCCGTAGTTCTACAGCTTTGAAGCCCGAGTCCAAGCCATAGTACTACACCATGAGCTCAGCTCACTCAGATAAGCTGTGAGCAGTAAATTTGGGCCTAGACATAAGAGAATGGATCTATGTGGTAAGTGTGCACCATATCAAAAAAGTCCTGCAGCACACAGTGCATAATAATAAAAAAAAACTGCAACCGTGTTTTTCAATTAAAACAGCGACTTTGAGGTGTATTTTCATATGGTTTTTATGGCTGTATTCACAGGTAATGAATTCCAGATTTAAGGGCCTTTTATGTGCACTGAGTTTTTGCATACCGTGCGATGGACACGAGGAATATCAAAGAATGATCTGTGCCTTGTGTTATGGTCATGTGTTCTGTTGAGGTTGGTAAGGAGATGTTTGAGGGGAGGGTTTATTTCAAAGTTAAGTGTTCTATGTATGTAGTAGGTGCAGTAATAAGTATGGATGTTTTGTATTGTGAGTAGGTTTAGAGTTTTGAATATTGGTGGAGTGTGCTGTCTGTAGTGGGAATTTGTTATCATTCTGACTGCAGCCTTTTGTTGGGTGATTAGTGGTCTGAGATGGTTTATTGTTGTTGAGCCCCATGCACAAATTCCATAGGTGAGATAGGGGTAAATAAGTGAGTGATATAGGGCCAGGAGGGCTGACTGGGGAACATAGTACCATATCTTCGATAGTATGCCTACGGTCTTGGATTTTTTTTTGGAAATTTGTTGTATATGTGTTTGAAATTTGAGTCTATTATCAAGGTGGATTCCTAAGAATTTTCCCTCTGTGAGTTTTGTGATAGGTGATCCATTTATCATTATGTTAAGAGACACATCTGCAGCTCTGTTACCAAACTGAATGTAGTAGGTTTTGTCAATGTTTAGAGTAAGTTTGTTGGTCCTCATCCAGGTTGATATTTTCTGTAATTCGGTATTTATAGTATTGGCTAGCATGACTGGGCTCGGGTGAGAATAGACGTATGTAGTGTCATCTGCAAATATTGTGGTTTTGAGTAGTGCGATGCATTTGGTAGGTCATTTATGTATATGAGAAAGAGAAGAGGGCCTAGGACACTTCCCTGTGGGACACCAACTGTAATTGGCTGTGCGGAAGAGTTTGCCCCATTTGTGTACACATATTGGCTTCTGTTGCTGAGGTATGACTTTAGGTAGTTGAGGGAGTGCCCTCTTATACAACAGTGCGACAATTTTATGTGGAGCAAGTCGTGGTCAACTGTATCGAAAGCTTTACGTAAGTCAATGAAGATCCCCATTGGGACTTCTTTTTTCTCTATTGCTGTATAAATATCTTCTAGCATGTGGATAATAGCATCATTAGTATTTTTATTAGGCCTGAACCCAAATTGACAGGGGTTTAGTATGTTGTGGGAGATGAGGTAGGAATAGATACGCTTATGGATTAATTTTTCAAAGATTTTAGAGAGAGGGTGTAAGTTGGATATTGGCCTATAGTTATTCAAGTCTGTGTGGTCTCCTCCTTTATGGATCGGGGTGAACCTTGTTATTTTGAGAACTGTAGGAAAGGTAGAGGATTCAATGGATTTGTTAAAGAGTGTTGCAATGATTGGTGATAGCACCCGTGACACTTTTTTGTATATAATGGGTGGTAAGGTTTTTAAATCTCCTGTCTTGTTTTTTAGTTTGTTGATAATAAGGGAGACTTCAGTTGGGTTAGTCGGAGCTAGGAACAGTGTGCTCGGGTAGTTGCCAGTGAGGTAGCATCATTTGTGTTTTTATTATTCCTGAATCCAAACTGACAAGGGTTTAATATGTTGTGTGAAACAAGGTAGGAATAGATCTGTCTATGAATTAATCTTTCAAAGATTTTAGAGAGCAGTGGTAAGTTAGATATTGGTCTATAGTTATTCAAGTCAGCTTGGTCACCTCCTTTATGGATCGGAGTGACCCTTGCTATTTTGAGGATTGTTGGGAAGGTAGATGATCAATGGATTTGTTAAAGAGCATTGGAATAATTGGTGACAATACTTGAGAAGCTTTTTTGTACATAAAAGCAGGCAAGTTGTTTATGTCTCCTGCCTTGTTTTTAAGGGTGTTTATGATGAGCATAACTTCGGTGGGGTTGGTTGGAGCTAGGAATAGCATATTTGGGTAGGTTCCTATGAGGTAGTCTGATGGACAGGCGTTTGTGCTTGGTATTTTGTTTGCTAGATTTTTTCCTATGGTGGAGAAGAAAACATTAAGTCTGTTTGCTGTTTTGGTTGGAGTGAGTAGGGGTTCATCTGATTTTGTTAGTTTGATTGCTTTGTTTTTGGATAACTTTTTAGTTCCAAGAATTTCAGATAGAGTTTTCCAGGTTTTTTTCATATTACCTTTGATGTTATGTAATCTATTTTCATAATACAATTTTTTTGACCTTCTTATCAGGCTGGTAAGTGCTGACGAGTAACTTTTCGACTGTTCTCTAGTTATTTGACCCATTCTATACTGTTTTTCATATTTGTGCTTTGTGTTAATGGATTTGAGGATGCTTGGTGTTAGCCAGGGATTACTCAGTCTCTTTGCTGTGATCTGTTTAGTTTTTCTGGGGCAATGTCTGTTATAGAGGCATTGGGCTTTTTTTAGAAAATTATTTATACATTCATTCATATCTGTATATGTTTCGAGCTCATTTTGCCAAACGATGCTATTCATAGCTGCTATAAAGTTGTTAACTGCTGTCTTGTTATGTAATCTGAAGGTTACTTAAATAATGTCTTGTGTCAGTTTGCCCAGATTAGTTATGAGAAAGGTTGGGTAGTGGTCTGTAGTGTTGTATATGATTATGCCTGATTTTAACCCGCAAACGGTCCAAGCAGATCTACGTTCACATGTGTAGTGCTACAAAAGTAGATCTAAGTTTTTTTACATATTTTCAAATATAACAAAAAAAAAAGTAGATCAAAGTTTTTTTTACACATTTTCAAATGTAGAAAAACAAAAAGAAGATCTACTTTTTTTACATGCTTTCAAATGTTGAAAAAACGTATATATACGTTTGGACCATTTACGGGTTAAAGGGGATATGGTGTTTGTCCAGATGTGGTCTATTAACCCTTTCAGGGTTTCGGCTGTACTAGTACGGCTTACGCACCAGGGTTTTTGACGTACTAGTATGCCTAAATTCTAGCGCCCTCAAATCTAGTGAGAGAAAGCTGGTAGGCCTAAATATGATATAAATACCACAAGGTATTTATTGTTGTATTCTAGTTTTCTTGGTCTCATTTTATAGAATGGAAGACATATTACAGAAATTGAGATGATTTTCACTGGTTTTACAATGAAAAGTACCTTGAAATTGAGCTCAAATTAGCAGAAATGTTCGATTTTTACCAAAGTTTATAAGTAAACAAATCATGCCAAGCATCCAATACACATCAACTGGTGAGTCTAATATTCTTTCACAAGTGCGTTGATATTATTTATACCATTTCTACAGTAATGCAGTAGTCTTTATAACAGTAAATCTGATTTTTTTTTTTTGTAAGAATAAAAATTCAAAGTGGAAAGCCAAAGAAATATAAGAGGGGCCTGGGGATGTGACTAACAAATAGAGAACTTGTTATTTTAGTGCCAGAAATCGCTTTCTTGTTTATTCTGGACCCTATTCGGAAATTGGCATCTTTTGAAATACGTGTGAAATTGGCAAAATTGCTAAATTCTGACCACTGTATTGGATAGTTGAAATTGGTAAATGGGTGGTTTCTTGTACTCATTCGATAGAAAAAATGGAGTTCTAGCGAAATAGTTATGATTTTTGCCGACTAGTACACTGGAATTGGCTGAAAATAGGGTTCAATATCGGCAAAATCACTGATGCATAAACATCGTCGAGAATGCTAACTTTGCGAGAGCATAATTCCGTAAGTTTTCCATCAAATTTCATACTTTTGGTGTTATTATGATTGGGAAAAGATTCTCTATCTTTTCATAAGAATTTTTTTTTTTTTTTTAAATTTGAGGGCACCTGAGAACAAGTCCCTGAGAGGGCCTGTGGACCCTGAAAGGGTTAAATTATTGTGTCTTATGTGTGTTCTGTTGCAGTTATCAAGCTAGAGTTTCAGAGCTGGGTTTATATTAGAAGTGTTTGTCCTCAATATGCAGTATGTACAGTAGTATGAGTGAATGTTACATGATAAAAAATAATGTATCCAATGCTTAACCCTGTAACAAATAATAATAATAATGATATAACCAATATATTAATCCTGCTAACAATAACAGTTAATGATGAGTGCGAACAAACAAAACACTGAAATATGTTTGTTAGCAGTTGAGGTAAAATGAGAGATTCTACTTTGACAATAAATTAATCGCTTCATCAATCTAAACACCAGTCATCTCGTGCTTAGTCAACACGGTGGACCCCCGGTTATCAGCCGCTTCTGTTATAGGCCAACTCGGTGATCGGCCGGTTTTTCAGCACCCGGTTATCGGCCGTTAATTCAGTGATCAGCCGTTGGGGACATGTCCGTCTCCTGGCTGGGGGCCGCTGGCGCATCAGTGTGGCTGTGTTGATTGGTGTGTGAGGAAGCTTCTGCTAATACATCCAAACATTTTGCTTGTTTTCCATTGTTTTTTGCATTTTTTTTTTGCAGAGCAACTGCGAAATAAGTAAACATGGCTCCAAAGAAAGTTCCTAGTAATGTTCCTGTAGTAAAGAAAGTGAGAAACATGATGGAATTTAAGCATGAA